CTGAATCGCACCGCGGGCGCTTGCGAGTAGACGTGGTAGGTGAGGCCTAGTGACACCGGGTCGGAGGCCATGGAGAGGACAAGCCCGGCGAGGAACTGGGAAGGCAGTCGTCATCGTCGTCATCATCGTCGTCATCGTCGTAACAATCGTCGTCATCACAATCATCGCCGTCGTCGTGATGACGTTCTCATTATATCATTACCACCATCACAATCATCATCGCAATCATCATCACATTCATTGTATCATTACCATCGTCACAATCATCATCATCATCCACATTCATTATATCATTACCATCATCGCAATCATCATCACAATCATAATCATCACATTCATTATATCATTACCATCATCACAATCATCACGATCATCACAATCATCATCACATTAATTATATCATTACCATCATCACAATCATCATTACCATCGTCACAATCATCATCACATTCATTATATCATTACCATCATCACAATCATCATCACATTCATTATATCATTACCATCATCACAATCATCATCACAATCATCATCACAAGCATCATCACATTCATTATATAATTACCATCATCACAATCATCACGATCATCACAATCATCATCACATTCATTATATCATTACCATCATCACAATCATCATCACAATCATCACATTCATTATATCATTACCATCATCACAATTATTATCACATTCATTATATCATTACCATCATCCCAAATATCATCATCATATTTCATTATATCATTACCATCATCACAATCATCATCACAATCATCATCACATTCATTATATCATTACCATCACAATCATCACAATCATCATCACATTCATTATATCATTACCATCATCGCATATATCATCATCATATTCATTATATCATTACCATCATCACAATCATCATCACAATCATCATCACATTCATTATATCATTACCATCATCACAATAATCACAATCATCATTACATTCATTATATCATTACCATCATCACAATCATCATCACATTCATCATATCATTAACATCACAATCATCATCACATTCATCATATCATTAACATCACAATCATCATCACAATCATCACAATCATCATCACATTAATTATATCATTACCATCATTACAATCATCACGATCATCACAATCATCATCACATTCATTATATCATTACCATGATCACAATCATCATCACAATCATCATCACATTCATTATATCATTACCATCATCACAATCATCACAATCATCATCACATTCATTATATCATTACCATCATCACAATCATCATCATCACATTCATTATATCATTATATCATTACCATCATCACAATCATCATCACATTCATTATATCATTACCATCACCACAATCATCATCACATTCATTATATCATTACCATCATCACAATCATCATCAAAATCATCATCACATTCATTACATCGTTACCATCATCACAATCATCACACTCATCACACTCATCATCACATTTATTATATCATTACCATCATCACAATCATCATCGCAATCATCATCACATTCATTATATCATTACCATCATCACAATCATCATCATCATCATCCACATTCATTATATCATTACCATCATCGCAATCATCATCACAATCATAATCATCACATTCATTATATCATTACCATCATCACAATCATCACGATCATCACAATCATCATCACATTAATTATATCATTACCATCATCACAATCATCATTACCATCGTCACAATCATCATCGCAATCATCATCACATTCATTATATCATTACCATCGTCACAATCATCATCACATTCATTATATCATTACCATCATCACAATCATCATCATAATCACCATCATCACATTCATTATATCATTACAATCATCACAATCATCACGATCATCACAATCATCATCACATTAATTATATCATTACCATCATCACAATCATCATTACCATCGTCACAATCATCATCACATTCATTATATCATTGCCATCATCACAATCATCATCACATTCATTATATCATTACCATCATCACAATCATCATCACAATCATCATCACAAGCATCATCACATTCATTATATAATTACCATCATCACAATCATCACGATCATCACAATCATCATCACATTCATTATATCATTACCATCATCACAATCATCATCACAATCATCACATTCATTATATCATTACCATCATCACAATTATTATCACATTCATTATATCATTACCATCATCCCAAATATCATCATCATATTTCATTATATCATTACCATCATCACAATCATCATCACAATCATCATCACATTCATTATATCATTACCATCACAATCATCACAATCATCATCACATTCATTATATCATTACCATCATCGCAAATATCATCATCATATTCATTATATCATTAACATCATCACAATCATCATCACAATCATCATCACATTCATTATATCATTACCATCATCACAATCATCACAATCATCATCACATTCATCATATCATTAACATCACAATCATCATCACAATCATCACAATCATCATTACATTCATTATATCATTACCATCATCACAATCATCACAATCATCATCACATTCATCATATCATTAACATCACAATCATCATCACAATCATCACAATCATCATCACATTAATTATATCATTACCATCATTACAATCATCACGATCATCACAATCATCATCACATTCATCATATCATTACCATGATCACAATCATCATCACAATCATCATCATCACATTCATTATATCATTACCATCATCACAATCATCACAATCATCATCACATTCATTATATCATTACCATCATCACAATCATCATCATCACATTCATTATATCATTATATCATTACCATCATCACAATCATCATCACAATCATCATCACATTCATTATATCATTACCATCACCACAATCATCATCACATTCATTATATCATTACCATCATCACAATCATCATCAAAATCATCATCACATTCATTACATCGTTACCATCATCACAATCATCACACTCATCATCACATTCATTATATCATTACCATCATCACAATCATCACAATCATCATCACATTCATTATATCATTACCATCACCATAATCATCACAATCATCATCATCACATTCATTATATCATTACCATCACAATCATCATTACAATCGTCAAGTCATCACATTCATTATATCCTTAACATCATCACAATCATCACAATCATCACATTCATTATATCATCACCACCATCACAATCATCACGATCATCACAATCATCACATTCATTATATCATTACCATCATCACAATTATCATCACAATCATCATCACATTCATTATATAATTACCATCATTACAATCATCACGATCATCACAATCATCATCATCACATTCATTATATCATTACCATCATCATCATCACATTCATTATATCATTACCGTCATCACGATCATCACAATCATCATCATCACATTCATTATATCATTACCATCATCACAATCATCATAACATTCATTATATCATTACCATCATCACAATCATCACAATCATCATCACATTCATTATATCATCACAATCATCATCACAATCATCATCACAATAATCACAATCATCATCACATTCATTATATCATTACCATCATCACAATCATCATCACAATCGTCATCACAATCATCATCATCACATTCATTATATAATTACCATCATTACAATCATCACGATCATCACAATCATCATCACATTCATTATATCATTACTGTCATCACAATCATCACAATCATCATCATCATCACATTCATTATATCATTACCATCATCACAATCATCTTAACATTCATTATATCATTACCATCATCACAATCATCACAAATCATCATCACATTCATTATATCATCACAATCATCATCACAATCATCATCACAATAATCACAATCATCATCACATTCATTATATCATTACCATCATCACAATCATCATCACAATCGTCATCACAATCATCATCATCACATTCATTATATAATTACCATCATTACAATCATCACGATCATCACAATCATCATCACATTCATTATATAATTACCATCATTACAATCATCACAATCATCATCATCACATTCATCATATCATTACCATCATTACTACACCGCCCCGGTCGCCACGGCGACACCGCCCCGGTCGCCACGGCGACACCGCCCCGGTCGCCACGGCGACACCGCCCCGGTCGCCACGGCGACACCGCCCCGGTTACCATGGTGATGGCGTCGACGGACTCGGGATTGGCCACGGCCCAGACGCCCAGGGCCAGGGCCGTGAAGTTGCTCCACCCGTAGCTGGGACTCATCTCATGCACCAGCGTCGCCCTGGCAACGGGGGGGAGGGGGGAGGGGAGGGGGAGGAGGGGGGGAGGTGGAGGAGGGGGGGAGGTGGAGGAGGAGGGGAGGGAGGGCGGGGGGTAGGGGGAGGTGGGGGAGGTGGAGGAGAGGTGGGGGGGGAGGTGGGGGAGGAGGGGGGAATCAGCAAATGAGGTTGAACTACACCCTGAGTCTCTACTACACCCTGAGTCTCTACTACACCCTGAGTCTCTACTACACGCTGAGTCTCTACTACACCCTGAGTCTCTACTACAGCCTGAGTCTCTACTACACCCTGAGTCTCTACTACACCCTGAGTCTCTACTACTGCCTGAGTCTCTACTACAGCCTGAGTCTCTACTACACCCTGAGTCTCTACTACAGCCTGAGTCTCTGCTACACCCTGAGTCTCTACTACACCCTGAGTCTCTGCTACACCCTGAGTCTCTACTACAGCCTGAGTCTCTACTACATCCTGAGTATATACTACACCCTGAGTCTCTGCTACACCCTGAGTCTCTACTTCGCCCTGAGTCTCTACTACACCCTGAGTCTCTGCTACACCCTGAGTCTCTACTACAGCCTGAGTCTCTGCTACACCCTGAGTCTCTACTACACCCTGAGTCTCTGCTACACCCTGAGTCTCTGCTACACCCTGAGTCTCTACTACACCCTGAGTCTCTACTACACCACGAGTCTCTGCTACACCCTGAGTCTCTACTACAGCCTGAGTCTCTACTACAGCCTGAGTCTCTACTACACCCTAAGTCTCTACTACACCCTGAGTCTCTACTACACCCTGAGTCTCTACTACAGCCTGAGTCTCTACTACAGCCTGAGTCTCTACTACACCCTGAGTCTCTACTACAGCCTGAGTCTCTACTACAGCCTGAGTCTCTACTACACCCTGCGTCTCTACTACAACCCGAGTCTCTACTACACCCCGAGTCTCTACTACACCCTGAGTGTCTACTACAGCCTGAGTCTCTACTACACCCTGAGTCTCTACTAGAGCCTGAGTCTCTACTACACCCTGAGTCTCTACTACACCCTGAGTCTCTACTACACCCTGAGTCTCTACTACACCCTGTGTCTCTACTACACCCTGAGTCTCTACTACACCATGAGTCTCTGCTACACCCTGAGTCTCTACTACACCCTGTGTCTCTACTACACCCTGAGTCTTTACTACACCCTGTGTCTCTACTACACCCTGAGTCTCTACTACACCCCGAGTCTCTACTACAGCCTGAGTCTCTACTGCACCCTGAGTCTCTACTACACCCTGAGTCTCTACTACAGCCTGAGTCTCTACTACACCCTGAGTCTCTACAAGAGCCTGAGTCTCTACTACACCCTACGTCTCTGCTACACCCTGAGTCTCTACTACACCCTGAGTCTCTACTACAGCCTGAGTCTCTACTACACCCTGAGTCTCTGCTACACCCTGAGTCTCTACTACACCCTGAGTCTCTACTACAGCCTGAGTCTCTACTACACCCTGAGTCTCTACTACACCCTGAGTCTCTACTACACCCTGAGTCTCTACTAGACCCTGAGTCTCTGCTACACCCTGAGTCTCTACTACAGCCTGAGTCTCTACTACACCTGAGTCTCTGCTACACCCTGAGTCTCTGCTACACCCTGAGTCTCTGCTACACCCTGAGTCTCTACTACACCCTGAGTCTCTACTACACCCTGAGTCTCTACTACACCCTGAGTCTCTGCTACACCCTGAGTCTCTACTACACCCTGAGTCTCTACTAGACCCTGAGTCTCTGCTACACCCTGAGTCTCTGCTACACCCTGAGTCTCTGCTACATCCTGAGTCTCTACTACACCCTGAGTCTCTGCTACACCCTGAGTCTCTACTACACCCTGAGTCTCTACTACACCCTGAGTCTCTGCTACACCCTGAGTCTCTACTACACCCTGAGTCTCTGCTACACCCTGAGTCTCTGCTACACCCTGAGTCTCTGCTACACCCTGAGTCTCTACTACACCCTGAGTCTCTACTACACCCTGAGTCTCTGCTACACCCTGAGTCTCTACTACACCCTGAGTCTCTACTAGACCCTGAGTCTCTGCTACACCCTGAGTCTCTACTACAGCCTGAGTCTCTGCTACACCCTGAGTCTCTGCTACACCCTGAGTCTCTGCTACATCCTGAGTCTATACTACACCCTGAGTCTCTGCTACACCCTGAGTCTCTACTACACCCTGAGTCTCTGCTACACCCTGAGTCTCTGCTACACCCTGAGTATATACTACACCCTGAGTGTCTGCTACACCCTGAGTCTCTACTACACCCTGAGTCTCTACTACACCCTGAGTCTCTACTACACCACGAGTCTCTGCTACACCCTGAGTCTCTACTACAGCCTGAGTCTCTACTACAGCCTGAGTCTCTACTACACCCTGAGTCTCTACTACACCCTGAGTCTCTACTACACCCTGAGTCTCTACTACACCCTGAGTCTCTACTACAGCCTGAGTCTCTACTACACCCTGAGTCTCTACTACACCCTGAGTCTCTACTTCGCCCTGAGTCTCTACTACACCCTGAGTCTCTACTACACCCTGAGTCTCTACTACACCCTGAGTCTCTACTACACCCTGAGTCTCTACTACACCCTGAGTCTCTACTACACCCTGAGTCTCTACTACACCCTGAGTCTCTACTACACCCTGAGTCTCTACTACACCCTGAGTCTCTACTACACCCTGAGTCTCTACTACACCCTGAGTCTCTACTACACCCTGAGTCTCTACTACACCCTGAGTCTCTACTACACCCTGAGTCTCTACTACACCCTGAGTCTCTACTACAGCCTGAGTCTCTGCTACACCCTAAGTCGCTACTACACCCTGAGTCTCTACTACACCCTGAGTCTCTACTACACCCTAAGTCTCTACTACACCCTGAGTCTCTACTACACCCTGAGTCTCTACTACAGCCTGAGTCTCTGCTACACCCTGAGTCGCTACTACACCCTGAGTCTCTACTACAGCCTGAGTCTCTACTACACCCTGAGTCTCTACTACACCCTGAGTCTCTACTACAGCCTGAGTCTCTACTACACCCTGAGTCTCTACTCCACCGTGAGTCTTTGCTACACCCTGAGTCTCTACTACACCCTGAGTCTCTACTACACCCTGAGTCTCTACTACAGCTTGAGTCTCTGCTACACCCTAAGTCTCTGCTACACCCTGAGTCTCTACTACACCCTGAGTCTCGACTACAGCCTGAGTCTCTACTACACCCTGAGTCTCTACTACACCCTGAGTCTCTACTACAGCCTGAGTCTCTGCTGCACCCTAAGTCGCTACTACACCCTGAGTCTCTACTACACCCTGAGTCTCTACTACACCCTAAGTCTCTACTACACCCTGAGTCTCTCTACACCCTGAGTCTCTACTACAGCCTGAGTCTCTGCTACACCCTGAGTCGCTACTACACCCTGAGTCTCTACTACAGCCTGAGTCTCTACTACACCCTGAGTCTCTACTACACCCTGAGTCTCTACTACAGCCTGAGTCTCTACTACACCCTGAGTCTCTACTCCACCGTGAGTCTTTGCTACACCCTGAGTCTCTACTACATCCTGAGTCTCTACTACACCCTGAGTCTCTACTACACCCTGAGTCTCTACTACAGCCTGAGTCTCTGCTACACCCTAAGTCTCTGCTACACCCTGAGTCTCTACTACACCCTGAGTCTCGACTACAGCCTGAGTCTCTACTACACCCTGAGTCTCTACTACACCCTGAGTCTCTAATACACCCTGAGTCTCTACTACACCCTAAGTCTCTACTACACCCTGAGTCTCTACTACAGCCTGAGTCTCTACTACACCCTGAGTCTCTACTACACCCTGAGTCTCTACTACACCCTGAGTCTCTGCTACACCCTAAGTCTCTACTACACCCTGAGTCTCTACTACACCCTGAGTCTCGACTACAGCCTGAGTCTCTACTACACCCTGAGTCTCTACTACACCCTGTGTCTCTACTACACCCTGAGTCTCTACTACACCCTAAGTCTCTACTACAGCCTGAGTCTCTACTACACCCTGAGTCTCTACTACACCCTGAGTCTCTACTACACCCTGAGTCTCTGCTACACCCTGAGTCTCTACTACACCCTGAGTCTCTACTACACCCTGAGTCTCTACTACAGCCTGAGTCTCTACTACACCCTGAGTCTCTACTACACCGTGAGTCTTTGCTACACCCTGAGTCTCTACTACATCCTGAGTCTCTACTACACCCTGAGTCTCTACTACACCCTGAGTCTCTACTACACCCTGAGTCTCTACTACACCCTGAGTCTCTACTACACCCTAAGTCTCTACTACAGCCTGAGTCTCTACTACACCCTGAGTCTCTACTACACCCTGAGTCTCTACTACACCCTGAGTCACTGCTACACCCTGAGTCTCTACTACACCCTGAGTCGCTACTACACCCTGAGTCTCTACTACAGCCTGAGTCTCTACTACACCCTGAGTCTCTACTACACCCTGAGTCTCTACTACACCCTGAGTCTCGACTACAGCCTGAGTCTCTACTACACCCTGAGTCTCTACTACACCCTGAGTCTCTACTACACCCTGAGTCTCTACTACACCCTGAGTCTCTACTACACCCTGAGTCTCTACTACAGCCTGAGTCTCTACTACACCCTGAGTCTCTACTACACCCTGAGTCTCTACTACACCCTGAGTCTCTACTACACCCTGAGTCTCTACTACAGCCTGAGTCTCTACTACACCCTGAGTCTCTACTACACCCTGAGTCTCTACTACACCCTGAGTCTCTACTACACCCTGAGTCTCTACTACACCCTGAGTCTCTACTACACCCTGAGTCTCTACTACACCCTGAGTCTCTACTACACCCTGAGTCTCTACTACACCCTGAGTCTCTACTACAGCCTGAGTCTCTGCTACACCCTGAGTCTCTACTACACCCTGAGTCTCTACTACACCCTGAGTCTCTACTACACCC